AACAATGGGACTTTTAGGACCTAGCCCACGCGAGTTAGATTCCGCCTGACGTTAAATAGTAATAAATAAATAAATATAAAGCCGAGATAGAAGAAGAAGCGGCTCTTACTTTATATACTTAAGTTAAAGCTAACGGTCTTTCCTAATAAAAGAAGTTCGTTTAGCTAACTAGGCCGCTTTTTCAAGCATTTGAGCCCCAAAATGACCCGGTCATACCCATTCCATTTTTCCACTTTAGCTCACATTCTGTACCCCACCACCCGGTGGACAAGATAAGTTGCAGACTTGGCGTAGTCGATTTTGTGTGCATCTCTCAAAAGTTCCAAGCCAAGTCTACCACTTATCTTGTCCACCGGGAGCCCACCTCTCTGATTTGAAATGGATGCTTTCGTTACTGAGTGGTGAGAGATTGGATGGCTGATTCTGCTTCGAGCTTAGCCGCAAGCACATGAGTGATAACAAAACATACTTTAGCTATCCTTGTATCTGACTGTTCTTGGTTTTTATAACATCCTGGAAAGTCTTCAAATGTTACACCTTGACATCCCGAGTCACCCCATAGTTCGATATCTTTGGGCGTCCGTGAGGTAGAAATAACGTGTCCTTCAGCCTCCCTATAGGATTCAAGTTTTTGAATCACTGATATATGGATATAACACAAGTTCTATGTGGGGGTTACTGATACTTATATTCGCTGAGCTATATAACGTGAACTATCTGTGTTTCAAGGAAGCTCAAAGAAAAGAAGTTCCAAAGTATTGGAAGTAGAGTATATAGCTGGGAAAGTATTCAGTAACCGGATAAACCCCATTCCGTTCCATATATAGCCCGTTACACTGTAGTCAAATTGAAGGACGTCTCTGCAGCTTTCTATTAGCATATTGATAGGGATATCATCAGCTGTTTATTATGTATGGACTTACACTCAAGGCTCCATTATGGTGTGCAAAGCAATCCACCATTGCGGCCGGCCCGGCAAGTAAGGCCGCTGCAGCAGGATGGTGCAACTGTGCTGGCGCAGTTCGCTGAGTTGAAATTAGCTCTCAGATCATATGTGAGGTACACATTGCGACTGGAGACTTACCGCCACTGGGAGTGCATGATCGAGCAGAGGCTGCGGCGAAGACGCTAAGTAAAGTGAGGGCGAGTGTGAACTTCATATTGAAAGTTTTCTGTTGCAAATTTGATTTTGATAAGAGTTGGTTTTCTGATGTGGTCGAGTTGCTGACTGTTGGTCTGTTCAATCTCTCGATGTGGGAGCCCTTATATATATATATATACCTTCTGCCCCACTTCAATGCACTCTCACACCGCCGCAATATGTCTACAAAAGATCGGGCTTGGGTATGCTTAACAAAACATCGGGCTTGAGTATGCTTAACAAAACATCGGGCTTGGGTATGCTTAACAAAACATCGGGCTTGGGTATGCTTAACAAAACATCGGGCTTGGCTTAACAAAACATGGACAAGGATCTCATCGCCTCTTTCGTTGAGGTCATGCATGCTCTGCTTTCGCCTGGGATACAAGTAACCTTCGGTCGTTGGGCTCAAGATATCCGCCTCTTGGCAATTCTTACGCGGATCACTGCTCTTCAGAGCATGGTGGGTACGTGAGATGCAGGTCACAATCTTAACCCTGCTCTGAGCCCACGGGCAAGTACTCCGCAAACTAGCCATTGGAGAATGATCAGGTAGAAGGCTAGTAAGACACCCTGATATAGTTGCAATTGCGGTCATGCTTTTTTGCTTCGAGGAATATTTGCGATTATGAATAACTTCACTTTTCTGCCCCGTGAATGTTTCGGGCTCTTGTAACCAATAATTCTCCAAAGGATTGAGCCACATTAAAAGTCAGGAGATCTCCTACTTCGAAGCAAAAGTCGGATACGCTCATAGCTAACAATAAGCGCAACAAAGTATCCTTCTATAAGTTCATTTAGGTACGACCGACTCATGCTTCCCCAGCTGCGTAATGATCGACAGTAAGCCGTTACAGCCGTGGATCCCCCGCATGGCCGACGACGATAGTAGGTAAGCGAGAATCTCTCATCTCTCCGATTGTCTCGTATCATAATACAAAAATAAATCACTCTACTGCCGACGGCTCCTATTAGACTTCAGTGCATACTCTGGTGTTCTGAGTTTTTCTGGGTTTCAGTGATATTATTACGTATTCCAAACTAATGTAAAAATGCGAGTAGCAAACCGAGCGATGTTCGGGCCTTTTTGTTCTGCAGTAATTGCTATACAGTAAACTTCACACCTAAACCCAAGTCTTGTGTCCTCAAAGATGTCATTAGCAATATAACTATATTTTGGTGTTGCGGGGTGTCCTTGCCAATTGAATGACTGGCGATGATGCGATGAACCTTTCCAACAGGATCTACAATGTTTCATCGTCGTCACAACCAATCATCGTTTCCGAAACCCTGACTTCATAGCTTGGCAGATGCCCCGCCACACTCAGAAAGAGACATGCTGTTTTACAAAGTATAAGTAGATGTCTACACAAGAGAGAAATAAGAATCCTATATAATGCTATTACCTCATCACAGAATGCAACTAACGTACTTCATAAGGAGTCCGGATTTATGGCTCCTATTAGACTTCAGTGCATACTCTGGTGTTCTGAGTTTTTCTGGGTTTCAGTGATATTATTACGTATTCCAAACTAATGTAAAAATGCGAGTAGCAAACCGAGCGATGTTCGGGCCTTTTTGTTCTGCAGTAATTGCTATACAGTAAACTTCACACCTAAACCCAAGTCTTGTGTCCTCAAAGATGTCATTAGCAATATAACTATATTTTGGTGTTGCGGGGTGTCCTTGCCAATTGAATGACTGGCGATGATGCGATGAACCTTTCCAACAGGATCTACAATGTTTCATCGTCGTCACAACCAATCATCGTTTCCGAAACCCTGACTTCATAGCTTGGCAGATGCCCCGCCACACTCAGAAAGAGACATGCTGTTTTACAAAGTATAAGTAGATGTCTACACAAGAGAGAAATAAGAATCCTATATAATGCTATTACCTCATCACAGAATGCAACTAACGTACTTCATAAGGAGTCCGGATTTAAAAATAAAATAACTTATATACTACTTAAAAGTAGATAGTTATATAAGATTATTAGAGCTATAATATTTTTAAAACCCTTTTAATTAAAATAGTCGACTTTATTAGCTAAGAATAAATTAATTTTTATTTTCTTATTAATTCTAGCGTAAAAGTATTAAACATTAGTAAGGGTTTTGATTTTACTAATAAAAGAAAATAAACAATACCTTATATATATTATAGCGTTATAGACCCCTTTGAGTATATTAATAGATAGTTTATATTTTTTGAATTACTAAGAATATCCCTCTTAATATAAAGATCTTACGCGACTTTTATATGTATATTCGTAAGTCTTAGAGAAAACCTATTTTAAACATAATAAAGAGATATAGGTTATCTTATTGAATTAGGAAAATATAAAGTCGAATAGCTTTCCGAGTATGTTAACAAGTACTATTATAGCATTAAGTATCACATATTAATAGAAAGATAGAGATTAATCGAAAGAGTATAGTGATTTCATTTTCAACAAGAGATACTCAAACAACAATAACAAACAGTCACTCTCCTCTCTCTCCTTCTCCCTCCCTTTCTCCCTCCCCGTCTCCCCTCACCTCGCCTTCCTGCGCTTGAACGCTGGTAACAGTTAGCTCTGATATAATCAAACAAACAATTGATTGGTAATCAACCGATAGAGACAGGACTGCGGCACCACAGTTTGATATTCAACGACACCAATAGCTTGAGCCAGTAATTGTAGGAAAAAGACGACACTTACACTTGAGATAGTTGCACTGGGGGTGGAGGAGGAGGAGGAGGAGGTGGTGGTGGTGGTGCCAGTGCTTGGGATTGGGGAGGAGGCAGGGCCCGGACATATCGTCTCGGGTAAAAAAAACATATCTCCCTAAGCAATTGCTTGTTAGCTGGCAATCTGCTAATGGAACGCTAATCTTCTTACTCGATGGTCCTCCTGTGGAACGTTAGCAGCATATTCTGAAGATATGGTGGGAATCTGAATACATACGGGCGACGGGCCTTGACATACTTGACCACCTTGGTGGGACCTGGTGCCATATTGAACTTGGTGTCTAAATAACTGATAAGCATCCTGCGGCATATTTTTGGTGGAAGACTAACGGGTTGTGGTTGGTTGTGTGTAGCTGGTGGTGGTATTTCGAGGACTGAGCTTGTTAGTATTGGGACTGAAGATTGGGGGGTAATTGCTGGTGCTTACCGTTTTGTTCAGGTGGGCCTGAAAAGAAGAGGAGCAGAAGTATGATCGATGAATTTTGCTCAAGTATATCTTTCTGTTTAGCGTGGTGGTTGTTGTGGCTCCACTTTGATAAGCGAGCAGAGCCCCCTGTCACCGGGTAACGACTACTCCAGACCCTCCAACTTTGACGTTTCCATTGGTTGTCAAGACGATAAGCATGTCCCTATATACACGAGGAATCAATACGGATACTGGAGATTATTCAGAAGTAATCACTCTGCGAGTAAGGATACAACAGTGTTTCTGCTCCTTATCGAATCACTTTCGATTCCGAGAGTTCCCTTTGAGAATACAGACCACATCGGTACCTGTCGTTGAAACAAGCCTTGGTCAGTGAGTACAGTTGATGAAACTGGTAGATTAATCCACCTCATGCGTAAGATTTGTACAGAGTAGCGGCCAAAACTCGATCTCATTACATCAGCCCAATGAACACACGGAAAACACCTTGGAGAGGGTTTGCAATCAGAGACGGAAGAATAAAGATACCGCGGTATTCAGTAATCCTATTATGCGAAAACATCTTACATTCAATGAAACCAATCTCGCTGATATCAGGATTACCTCACTCAATAGCAGTTGCGCGGACGATAGTGATGCACCCTTATACATATGAAATCCCTTCTGAACAGTGGACTATGGGGGTTGAAAAAAGGGCAGCCTTTTCCTACAGCCTACTTGGGATTTCAGGAACCTGGACCGGCATCTTGTCAGAATAAATATAATTCGCACTCCAATTGCGCAGGAATATGCTTTGGTTCCAATGAAGCGCCTCTTGACGATGGACATGCTGGTGAAAATTTCATCCGACTGATGACCTAAGCATCTCTAGTTGGCTTATTCACTAGCATACTTGCTGCGAATGGTCGATCATGTCAGTCGGCCTGGCTACTGTCACTTTCCGCCACTCGACTACTCATAGCAGCCAACCCCTCGAAGACGTCCGATGAGCCACTTCAGATTCATTGGTAATTACAGCAGTCAATACTTTTGGAGGCATATGCTAGGCGGCTTGCAATTCAGGCGCTTTGCACACTCGGATATGAAAGCACATGCGGTAGCTTCTGTAGGTTAGGGATTTCAAGCGCTCTTGTGATAATTACACATTTGTTGAACGATTTGAAATGAATCCGATAAGCTTAAAGGACTCCAGATATCCTGACTTGCGCTTTCGAGTGTACAGGCGGTTTTGACTGATTGGTGAAAATGGCGTCGGTGTGTTGCATGCCGTAAGACTGCATTTCCCCCTGCAGGGATTCATCTAGGCTTCAAGGCAACAGCCGCAGGTCTGAGTAACTGTTAAGAACCACAGGATACCGCTTTTCGCAATGCTATATTCTACCACTATCTATCTGTAGCCGGAAAGCTCGGGTTTGATGAGTACTACGACAGTAGCTATGGCCAAGGAATGTGATGGCCATACGGCAGAGTTTAAGTCTATACACTACGGAAGGGGCGAACACTCGAAGATGGACGTTATATTTTAGAAGGGCGGTATTAATTTAAAGCCTTATAACACCTCTTGTATCTATAGAAAATAGAGCGTAGCTAATTATACTAGTATTTAAGTATATAGGGCAATACTAGTGGAATATTATATTAGAAAGACCTAATCTTTTTAGAATGGTATGAAGTTAACCTAGAAGAAAAAGGTAAAGAGACAACGTACTCTGAAACCCTCATCAATAGGCCTTTTTACGGAGTGTAGGTCAAGTTTCTAATGCCCCATTTACGCGCACCCTGCCAATGCAAGACCCATTCTTTGGACTTTGACTTTACTTCTTCGCTTAGAGGGAGTTGTTGTTCTAAGTCGCCTCTGAGTAGGACTTTCATTAGCGTCACCGCATAGTATAGGCTAGGGACGCGGCCTCATTGAAGTAGTATATTGCCGTCCATTCCTTGAGAATTGGTATCGCATCACAACAGCATCTTCTGTAATATTTCTGATCGTTTGGCATACGGTTTAGAAGTGTAAATTGCACCATATCGGTCTACCGGAGCCTCAGACCGCTGTAAATAATAACTCAGCAATGGCAGGCCTTTAATCCCTGTTTGGACAGATGCGCCTAGTTCAATAAAGCTTTCCAAGCACCCAAACACTGCCTCCCAAAGCTCCACGATAGAACTGTCATGATACCCAAAGTCGACTTCAGTGATAAGTGTTTGGCAAGATCGCTGCAAGAAGATTTAAAAAACAGATCTTCCGTTCCTCAAAACACTGATGCCATGTCACCAATGGCGCCAGCACATATGGAAGTGCAAGACGGGATGTTGTCGAGGGCCCGCCATTACCATATCTCGACACCTATGACACGAAACCCCCTTAAAAAACGTGCAGTTGCACAAATTATCCTTGCCAAACACATCACGCAGAAGCAGCTGCATGCGTCTGCATATTCAAAGGTGCAATATAGGTTATTTTCGAGGGACCACTGTCATCAGATTCCCTCGTCAAATGATATCAACCCCTCTATGAAATGTGCAATTTGCACAAGGATCCCTTGCAACATCTTATGCATGAATACCATTGCATGCACCTGCACATCCAAAAGTGCAATACACGTGCTTCCGTGAGGGATATTGTCGCGACATTTCCACAGCGAGTAGCATCAATCCACCACAGAAGGTGTGCAGAATGGAAAAACAACCCTTGCAAAGTCCAACGCGCAGCCGCGTCTTTAAGAGAGGCGGGCATTACTCTAGACACACCTGAGTTATAACATTATTCTTCCAAGGACCTCATATAACTAAATCAACTATACGAACAGTTTAATATAATCGTGTTACGTAATATCACGTGTGCTCGCTGGACCTGGTACAGGTCAGCGCTCACTTGCTTATTCCCTGGGTACAGGCGCACCAGGCCTATATAAACTCGAGCTCTCCCACCTATTATTTAGCAAGCTTTACACTGTTAATAAAAACTATTATCCTCAATTCAGTCCCTCAAGCAGGGAATTCGTTATTACTTATTTTGCCGTAGCTATTGTACGCTATAAATCGATACCTTTCACTTAATATTAACCTTGGTAAAACAGGACAATTTATTAAGTTGTGCTAGACTTTTGGTAACTTATAATGAATTTTAATAGCGTTTACAGAACAATGATCAGCTTTCTTACACTCAATGTGCAGAAAGGCCGAATTGGGAGTTTATTGATGCCTTCACGTGCTACTCGTTAGCCTTGAGGAATTGTAGATTTTGCACAAAAGTCCCCTTGCAAAGGTCAAACATGCTAATTAGTTCCCTTAATGCGGCTGGACAGAACCGATGCATGAGGCCAGCGGAATAATCCTACTTCGAAGGCTGCTGGATTTACTCAGTATATAATTACCAGTGCCTCCGTTCTCTTCTTTCGTTTTTTTCATCTTTCAAGCATTGAACGCTACTAGAGGCGAGTTAACATCAGTGACTGTTCCACCTACCAACAATTCCATTCAGAAAATATATAGCACGTCTTGACGTATCATATTTATAGTTGCAGTATCTGCACACACTGGAGCCGGTCTTCTCCTTGCATTCTACCAAAATCAGGTCTCCGAAGGATTCCCAACTTGGTACCTTTCAAGGTTCCACAAAAAAGATAACGACGTATATAATTTGAGTGTTCAACAACATAAATAAACCTCGCGAACATCTTGCTTCACTCCAGTACCTCAACGAACTGGAACACCTCTCGTTCTATTTCCAACCAGAAAAGCCTTCGAAGCCGAACAAAAGATGACAAGATCAAACGTGGCGAAGCTGGGAAATGATATTATCTAAAGGGGTCTATCGACAGCAAGATTGACTGGCACCCTGTTAGAAGACAATTAGTCATCTCTGATGAGTTTCACGACACAGCACCACAAACATGGACTTCTGCGACCCTTAACAACCACGTTCTTGACCACATGAACCACACGTATGTCCCTGGAAACTTGAATCAACACGCAACTCGACGCAAGACTTCTCTAAACAACACCTTCTCCGGATGTCACTCTATTTTAAACACCATCAATGACTCCCATATGGTGGATGATTGCATGTCAATGAACCCACTAACTAAGCTGTTCCGGAAAGTTAATATAGATATTTCACTCTTAATTCTTCCCTTCGACGCTGGTATGCACCTTTTCATTCCATCGGCTAAATGGTCATTGCCTCTTCCAGACTCGAGAGTTACAAAGAGAAACGTACACTTAAAGTGGAGATAAGTCGATAAAAACTGGATCAAGATGAGGCTCAAAATGAGACTCAAATGCTTGGGTGCCTATTCTGATTGGCCGAAGGACTTTGTTTTCCAGGGATGATGTTGAGAAGTGGATACTTTTACGCCATTTTAAGCGCAGGCCCTTTTTTGTAACTCCCGCCTCTGGAGGGGGTGATCAAACGGCATTTTCCCCAATGTACAGCTCCCATCTCAAGAGTTCCGAAGTACCATTAAATAAAATCCTTGTCAGAGCTTCAAACTATTCGAATCTTTGCTCGAGCTCTTCTTCCTTTAGTTCTGAGTCATATGGAGCAAAGATATATTCTAAGGTCCTTTGACTTCTAGATAAGACTTTCCCCGGGCGTTAATCGGGACCTCTTCATCAGGATTGGTTTTTATAAGCTCCTGAGGAAAGTTTTAAGAATGCGAAATTAAATGGAAGTTCATATTAGTAATAACCGTTTTCATCAAGGCTATTCGCACTGCCGAGAGACTCCCCTCATACACTTGAACACTTTTTACTATATAGTTCAATAGCTAACCTATCTAGGCGAAAGGGGCGTTCCGTATATTCCGGTAGCTCGATATTTCTACATTAGTAGTATTTCAGGTACAAGTAGGAAACGCGTCTTTATTGTTATAATAATAAAGTTTGTAAACCTAGCTATTATTTAAAGCTATTTATACTTAAATAAACTTGCTCTTATCTATTTATTATTACTACCCGCGCTACCGCCGCTTACTAAGTACTTATACTACTAAACGAGGTACCTAACCCTAAACCCCTAACCCTACCTTAAGGGGGTAAGTATTATTTTAATAGCGTAGGTAGTATAGGGGTTATATTCCGCTAACCCTAACCCTAACCCTAACCCTAACCCGCCTAAGTTAATAAAGCCACTTCTGTATTTTAAGTACTCCGACCCGCGGAATACTTAGAACGCCTTAACTTCCTAACCGGTTAGCTGTTAAACTATATAGTAAAAAGTGTCAACTGTATAGGAGGAGTCAGCCGAGAGTGTTTGTGTACTAATTATTAAGAACGGCCTGGAAAGGTAGCTTTCTAGAACAGGCTCTCGTCATTCGAGCAAACCAGGTTCATAACTCGAAATACCGACAATTAAAGAGCAAGTTATCCGCTGAAAGCACGTGTAAGTAGGTTATTCCTCTATATTTTCAGATGTCCTAGAGGTTGTGGTGTAGTATGCATGTCTACTTCGATGAATCCTCCGTACCAATTATCGTAGGAGGCATAGAGTTGAGGCACGGCCTTCCTGACAAAACGCTATATTCTTGAGTTTGATTACGTCCTTAATTCGGTGTCTTGATTCCTTGACGACAGTATCAATCAGCTTTCGATAAAAAGCAACGCTTCTAATGGAATTATTGGAATTCTTGAAGACGTGGTTGTAGAGGTAACGTACTTCATAAGGAGTCCGGATTTATAAGCAGTCCGGATTTTTTACCCCACCATTGACCACCCTACACACTTTCAATCTACATAACTTACCCAATTATTGTTCAAATGTCTCGAAAAGGAGGTCAAATTGCTCTTGCAATCAGTACATACAATAAGGGTCAATTTACAAGCTTAAAAGCAGCTTGTACAAGGTACGATGCGCCATATTCTACTACTTACGACCGCGTCAAGGGAGCTATTCCGCAACGCGATTTCCGACCCCGAAACCAGAAACTCACCGACCTCGAGGAATCAGCACTTATACAATGGATTTTATCAATGGAAGCTAGAGGTCTGCCAGTACGGAAAGATTCGATACGCCAAATGGCCGATTTACTACTGGAAAAGCGAACTGGAGTAGGTCGAATTATTGTCGGAAAATGCTGGGTTGACAACTTTATAAAGCGCCACGACTCTTTACGGACGAAATACACTCGTAAATACGACTATAAGCGCGCAAAATGCGAGGATCCTACGATTATCCGAGATTGGTTTCGATTAGTACATAATATTGTTGCGAAATATGGTATACTAGCGGAGGATATATACAATTTCGACGAGACTGGCTTTCAGATGGGAGTAATTGCGACCGCAAAAGTTGTTACAGGGTCAGAATATACAGGACGGGCTATTCATATACAACCAGGGAATCGCGAATGGGTTACAGTTGTCGAATCAATTTGTGCAGATGGATGGGTGTTGCCTCCAATGGTTATATTTGAGGGCAAGGTGCATATATCGACTTGGTATACAGATCAATTACCAGCAGATTGGACAATTGCACTTAGTGATAAAGGGTGGACCAATGATTCCTTAGGTCTTAAGTGGCTTTCAGACGTATTTGAGAAATATACCAAGGACCGTGTAAAAGGAGTATATCGACTTTTAATCCTCGATGGCCATGGTAGTCATTCTACTCCCGAATTCGATCTTTTCTGTTCAGAACATAACATCATAACGCTTTGTATGCCACCGCACTCATCTCATCTTTTACAGCCATTAGATGTTAGTTGCTTTGCAGTTTTAAAGCGACTTTATGGACGAGGAGTCGAGGAGCTAGTACGAGCCGGCACATATCATATCGATAAACCAGACTTCCTTTCAATATATCGTGTAGCCCGTACAAGTACTATGGTCAAAAACACAATCTGTAATGGATTCGCAACTACTGGCCTTGTCCCGTACAACCCAGATCAAGTATTGAGTAAATTACATACTCAATTACATACGCCTACTCCTCCTTTACTTTCTCCAAACCTACTACCTTGGGTCCCTGAGACACCCCATAATACATATGAGGCAGATCAGCAAACCCAGACAATTAAAGCATCTATTAAACGACGTACAAACGTTCTCTCAAGCCCTACTGCTATTGCATTAGATCAATTGGTTAAAGGGTGTAAGATGGCTATGCAATCAGCTACGGTTTTGGCAGAGGAAAATCGACGTTTACGAGCTGAATCTGAACGTCAAAAGAAGAAGAAGACTGTGCGACGTCAATATATTGCTACTGGGGGTGTTCTTACAGGTCAGGAAGGGAGGGAACTTATTCAAAATAGTGATAATATGGTTTTGGATGAAGCTGTGGCCCCGCTAATTGAACCACGAATTCGTGCACCACGAACCTGTAGTATATGTAGATCACTAGCGCATACTGCTCCTAGGTGCCCAGATCGAGAATAAGAAAGATAGTATAGTTTATATAAATAAATATTAAGTGGTTAAAGTTCTATGGTTTTTAAAAGTTGGATGGTGGGGTAAAAAATCCGGACTGCTTATAAATCCGGACTCCTTATGAAGTACGTTAGTTGCATTCTGTGATGAGGTAATAGCATTATATAGGATTCTTATTTCTCTCTTGTGTAGACATCTACTTATACTTTGTAAAACAGCATGTCTCTTTCTGAGTGTGGCGGGGCATCTGCCAAGCTATGAAGTCAGGGTTTCGGAAACGATGATTGGTTGTGACGACGATGAAACATTGTAGATCCTGTTGGAAAGGTTCATCGCATCATCGCCAGTCATTCAATTGGCAAGGACACCCCGCAACACCAAAATATAGTTATATTGCTAATGACATCTTTGAGGACACAAGACTTGGGTTTAGGTGTGAAGTTTACTGTATAGCAATTACTGCAGAACAAAAAGGCCCGAACATCGCTCGGTTTGCTACTCGCATTTTTACATTAGTTTGGAATACGTAATAATATCACTGAAACCCAGAAAAACTCAGAACACCAGAGTATGCACTGAAGTCTAATAGGAGCCATGGGTTATATAAGTCAGAGTGGTCTCTTGACGCTACCACTCAAGGCGTTTTCGCTCTCGTCTGTCTGTCGCTTACAGAATCCGACAACTTCTACTCATATCCCACATTCTTTCACATCTCAACATGCTTGTCAGCTTTATATCAATCGCAACGCTTTTCTCATCGGCGTTAGCAATCCCCGCGACCGGACTCGCAAAGGATGGCATTCAACGTTGGAAAGTGACAAACTGGCTCGGTTACATGGACACCAACGAGCCCAGCCGTTTTGAATTTGAAGTCGAGGGCGATGAATATGGTCCTAGGGATGGCTTGGTGGCACCTTCTGGTGGCGGCAAGATACCATCATCCGTTCCAGTATTCTTTGCCACATGCAAATTGGACAATGGACCCGTCTATATCGCAGTAGATGGATCGGACTGGATTGAATGTAATTTGGGGTTGAGTCAGGACAGGAAGCTCGAAGTGAGGGCAGTGCCAACCCCCAATCCTGTTCTCATTGGAACCAATGGTCGGATCCAGCTTCGCTACACATTCGTGGACCCCAAGGACAACGTGAAGTGGGAGTGGACGACTGGCAATACCAAGGTTTATTTCGATGACGTTCTGGTAGAGACATTCAATATCGACGTGTTTTTCTCGAAGGAGCTCTCTTGACCGTAAGCAATTGGCCTGCTCCGAGTTGTGCGATGGCGCTGGGAAAGCGTTTGGAAAAGGACGAGACGAGATCATTACATTTTCTGTGTTTTGAGGGGTTTTCAGCTTCTTTGCAAGGCTTTGAAAAACAGGAATTATTCGTCACAAAGATCACTTCGTTCAGAAGCCAAATTATGCTGTTAACAAATATGATAAAGCTTGTTAATCAAGGAGCGATAATTGATTGCAATGCCATACTTTAATGCAGCGCGATAGGAAAGCCGACTGATCAACAAATCTTTCAGTCAAATGTTACTCTCGCACCGATCTTTATATTTCGGTGGATTTGAATGTAATTTCCTCGATGACTTTTTGTTATTTGATTGAAAATAGTAAAAGTCAAAGTATTCTTACCAGCATATCAGTCCACATTTAGTACGAGTTGGTCATATGAGAGCACATTGAGAGTTTAAGTTACGGATTCTAGCAGAAAAGTTACTCTAACAGAATAGACTTGGGAGCAGATGTCGTGATATGATTTCTGAATATTGCTCTCGCCGATATATTTTGATTATATCTTTCTTCTCGTATAACATGAAACTTTCTATTACCTCTCCGATATTTATTTTAAGCTCTTTAGATATCGCTGATCATGATAATTATTAGGATATATAGATAATACTACTGTTAAGAGTAACTAACTAATTACTTACGCTAAAGATTCTATTTATATTTATATCTTAGTACCTCTTTTCGCTCGAGTATTACTATATTCTTTACTTCTAGTACTAAATTAATATGATAGATTAGACTATTACCATATAAAATCTAATTTATTAATATTAAAATAAAATAACTAGTTAAATAACAATATAGGTTCTTGAAATTATCTAGAGAAGTAGAGATAGATCCAGTTATACTATATATAAGATAGAAATTAATTAGGATACCGAAATATACATAGCATTTCTATTAGAGGTAATATTAAAATATATACTTTATAAAATAATAACGTATTTCACCGAAATATTAGAGCTAACGTGCATGTATAGCGAACCGGCCAAACAAGCGAACCGGCCAAAACCCGGCGACCCCACCACACCTCCACGAAATATTAAATTTCTCTACAACGAAGGATGCCTCTGAAAAATGACGAAAGCCGGTTAGTCTTAGCTATCCAAGCTATGCAAAAAGACCCAAATTTACGTGCTCCAGCTGCTGCCAGGACCTGTTCTGTAGACCACCGGAAGCTAGGTCGACGTTTGCTTGGTATACCTTCACGACGCGATATTTTAGCCAATTCACGGAAAATGACCGAGCTAGAGGAATCAGTACTTGTTCAACATATCCTCGACCTAGCTACAAAAGGATTTCCTCCGCGGATATCTGTAGTTGAAGATATAGCAAATCGACTTCTTGAAGCACGCGACGCGCCACGCGTCGGGACGCGTTGGGCTTATAACTTTGTTAAGCGCCGCCCAGAACTCCAGACACGCTTCCAACGAAAATACGACTATCAGAGAGCTAAGTGCGAAGATCCAGAAGTCATTCGTGGCTGGTTTGAGCTTGTACGAAACACAATAGCGAAGTACGGAATCTACGATGCAGATATCTACAACTTTGACGAGACTGGGTTTATGATGGGCGTTATCTCAACTGCAATGGTTATTACAAGCTCAGAAGGACGTGTAAAAGCAAAAAGAGTACAGCCTGGTAATCGGGAATGGGTTACAGTAATCCAGGGGGTTAATGCCCAAGGCTGGTGTGTTCCACCGTTTGTGATTGTTGTCGCAAAAGATCACCTCGCTTCTTGGTACCAAAACAGTGGATTTCCACCTAACTGGGTGATTGCTATTACTGAAAATGGTTGGACAACAAATGAGAAAGGCATGGATTGGATTCGACATTTTGAGAAGCATACAAAGTCCCAATCTATTGGTGGTTATCGTCTATTAGTCCTCGACGGCCATGAAAGCCACCACTCCGACGAATTTGAGGAATATTGCAAGGAAAACAACATTATCACTCTTTGTATGCCTGCTCATTCTTCTCATATACTCCAGCCACTCGACGTTGGCTGTTTTAGCCCTTTGAAAAGGGCATATGGTCAGCAAATTGAAGATATGATGCGGGCTCAGATCATCCATATTACTAAGGATGATTTCTTTCCTGCCTTCCACGCCGCATTTAATATTGCAATGACAGAAAGCAATATCCGAGGAGGGTTCCGAGGGGCTGGGCTTCTTCCATTTGACCCAGAAAGTGTAATTTCTACACTTGATCTTAAGCTAAAGACGCCAACGCCTCCAAACTCCCCCCCGTATTCCGCTCAGCCTTGGGTTTCCCAGACACCAAATAACCCTACTGAAGCCTTATCACAGACTGCATTTATTAAAGATCGAATTTTACGCCACCAAAGTAGCTCTCCAACCCCTATTTACGAGGCCATTGACCAGTTTACGAAGGGTGCATCAAAAGTAATGCACCAGATAGTACTATTGAAAGCTGAGAACCAGAGACTTCGACAAGCAAATGAAGTACTAAGTAAGCGCCGTAGAGCTAAAAAAACACGCCTACAGCAAGGAGGATCACTTAGTCAACAGGAAGCGCAGGACCTACAGGATGATAGAGACGTTGGTGAGCAGGTAATGCAGGAAATAAAGAGAAGTAGTGGTCGGAAGCCGAGGGAATAATCACGTGCACGGCGCTGTGGCAACTGCGGAGAGACTGGTCATAATACACGCACCTGTAATCTTATAGAGGAAGTATCTGAGGAAGAAATTTCTGAATAGTGTTTTTTAATTAGAGGCGTTGTGGTAGAGTTCTTACAATTTCAATCGCGAGTGTAGAAAATTTTGGCCGGTTCGCTTGTTTGGCCGGTTCGCTATACATGCACGTTACCGCTAATTCTAAATCTAGATTTTCAAGGTATAGGTAAAAATTATATTAAGACTCTAGAAAACTAGATTATAGCGTATAATACTTATAAGCGCTATACTTTAATTATATCGAGGAGGGTATTTATAAGTATATAGATCGAAATTAAAATATACGAACTCTTAGATACTTAAGTATAGCGACGTCGACTAAACTAACGTGAAATTAAAGAGAAAACTCGTTATGTCGTAAAAGTGTAATAATTTCGAAAGATAAGAAGCTGCTATATCTAGAAGCAGAGATTTTCTCCTATTTTACATTTCTTCTAGTCTATCGCTTAATTTCTCCGTAGAAAAATATTAAAAAAGGAGAACAAATACATACAACAGCAGGTATTCGCTGGTGGTCACCCACCCAACTACTAATCTGCCGATCTGAGGCTTGTGTATGGCAGAGCGGACGGGATGCCCAATTCTCCTCAGTCTATGGTCGTATGTGGCAGGGTAGGCCCCAACAAAAAACATGAAGCACAAAGACTGGTGGGGCAGCCAGATTCGCTAGGGCTGAACTCAGCCGAAGAACATCCCTTTCCTTCACGCTTCTTCATTTACAGGATGGACCACCGGTATTAATTCGCATCTGGAGACCTAGAAATTGAGATTCAATCTAGGTAAGTCCAATTAATCTATTTTTGAGAAGAGAAATATCGCCCAACTTTGAAACTGTGATCATGGGCCACCCGTTCGGACGATTTAGGAGGTTCCCTTAAACGATCGGTGCGGCAAGTTTACTTTAGTGTGAATTTACGGCACTTTGAGAGACGAACCCAACCAATCCATGAGACTTCTGTTATCTCAACAAATGTTAAGCTTCCCATACCTCAGTCAGTAAAGCCGCGCTCAACCGTGAGTTCAATCAATTTTTTTTCTTTAAATGGCGTACAATATACCCGAGATCAAGGGGTTTCGGCAACGACGTGATCGTCAGGCGCATTTGCGGTTACAGTAATAGTACACTCGGGCTATTAAGCTTCTGGAAATATCTGGAATAAAATCCTTAAATTTATGCTTTTGTGGAGCTGCACAGGGCATATCCGTAGCTTAATGCCCGGCACTGGCGGGTTGACGCAGCCTGGCGGCAGAGCCGCAGCTTGGGCTGCTTGGCTGAGGTACCTGATGCTAATTTTGCGACGACACTTCTTCAGCCTCCGCACACGTCCATCGCCAACTTTTCCACGAGTTTTTTTGGTAGGAATTGCGATTATTCTTTGAAAATAATGGGAAGAAACCCACGTTGGGTTATGTAGTTCCCTCACAATGGCCCATGTTTGCAATGACTAAAAGATTCGGACTCGATGGTACTTCGAAGTATGTTAGAGCCACAAAACTCGGTTGGATGAGGTAAAAGAAACTAGGAAGGGCGTGGCCCCATAGTTTTGACTCCAACTAACTCTGGCGCACCACCGTTTCCTGGAAATCCTGTCTGAAGATGAGTATCTGCGATTTGGGGTGCCATTATTCCACCAGGTTGCAGGTGTGATGCCATTTGTCTCATAGAAAAGACGATACAAACGAGTTCTCGGTTGCCGCTGCAAATGGAGACAGCACCAGATGTGCATGCGATACGGCAGTAGCGACTATCTCGGAGCACAACTTGATGATGGCAGCAATGCAGCGAGTTCAGAGTCCAAAAAAAGCAGCCAGCCCACTCGCCCACTCGCCCACTCGCCCACCAGTCCAGCACTCCACCGCACTCTTGGATGTAGATCATTTGCGGATGTCGCGAGCCACTCAAAACATGGGCAGGACTGGGGTGCACTTGCCCAGAAATCAACCATCTGCACGGAACGACGTTCGTTCCTCTTCTCGCCGAGTTCCCGATCCCTACGCATCACATTGTTCATCCACAATTGAGTGCAAAATGCCCCCCACAGCAGAGCATGACTTACACAAACCGGACAGTAATAGCTCTTCGTATCATTCTCGGCTCTGAGTAAGGCAGACGATACCCTTCCTTGCCAGGCAAAGAACGACTAGCCAAGCGATGCTATTGGCCGGATGTATGTTGATTGAAAAGCTAGGGAAGTTGAGACCAGTAGAGTCAAATCGATGAGATCACCAAACCGCTGATAAGGAATAAGTTAAAAGTCTCTGACCACCCCTCCTTCTCATCTCTTGTTCAACCCATTCTTCAGCATCATCTTAGCCCTCCAATAATACTTCCGACTTCGCCCAAGCCGCCTATTACCATTCAGGCATTACATAATTGGTACGCATTTCTCATTACGTATTCGCAATTCTCAACTGTCTGTCACCATTCTTGGTTACTCCAGCAGATTCGAGTTATTCATGAATCCATTCAACTTTCTTGAATAACCAAGTCACTAACTCGCGCATCCAGGTTCATCCACAACCTTTTGGCGAAACTTCGAAATGGCTTCCTCAGGAGAAAGAATTACGGCGAACCCTCTGCCCATAGAGAAATCCCCCAAAGCATCAAGCGAAGGCCGCAAAACATCGACGGGGACGCAAGATTCGGTACAAAATGCCAAGGACGAGATGGTGGGTGAGGTGGGGATGCTGGAGGCGCAAGGAGCACAACATTTCAAGCGTCTGGGGTGGAAGCGATTAACGGTCGTGCTGATCGTGGAGGCCATTGCACTCGGTGCCCTTTCGATCCCACAAGCCTATGCAACCCTTGGAATGGTGCCAGGTATCATTCTTACCATCGCACTCGGATTGATCGCCATCTACACCAGTTACGTTGTTGGACAAGTAAAACTGAAGTTTCCTGAAGTGGCTCACTATGCCGACGCCGGAAGACTGATGATGGGAAAATTTGGATACGAGTTGATTGGTGCTATGTTTACGCTGGAGCTGATTTTCCTGGTCGGTTCTCACTGTTTGACTGGTGCTATTGCGTTTGGAAACTTGAGCGGTGATGCTTGGTGCTCCGTTGCTTTTGCATTCATCTCTGCCATTGTCCTCTACATCCTCTCAGTGCCTCCTTCCTTCGCTGAAGTGGCAATCTTGGGATACATCGATTTCGTATCGGTTATGTTGGCTATTGGAATCACCATCATCTCCACCGCCGTTATTTCCGGCAAAGCTCCTGGTGGAATTCAAGCTGTCAACTGGTCCGCCTGGCCAAAGGAGAATATCACTTTTGCTGATGCCTTCAATGCTGTCACCAACATTGTTTTCGCTTACTCCTTCGCCGTCTGCCAGTTTTCTTTCATGGATGAAATGCATAGTAAGTTCTACCCCGCCAAAATAAAATTGACTTGTGCTAATCTTGTGCAGCACCAAAGGATTTCGTCAAGTCAATCTGGTCTTTGGGATTAATCGAGATTTTCATCTACACCATTACTGGAGCATTGATCTACGCCTTCGTTGGTGTTGATGTCAAGTCCCCAGCATTGCTTTCAGCCGGACCAGTCATGGCAAAGGTCGCTTTCGGAGTCGCTCTGCCAGTTATTTTCATTTCCGGATCCATCAACGGAACCGTTGTCGCTCGATACATTCACGGTCGTTACTACAAAGACTCCGTTGTCCGATTCATTAACACCAAGAAGGGATGGATCACTTGGCTCGCACTTCTCGCCGTCATCACCCTTATCGCTTGGGTTATTGCCGAGGCCATTCCATTCTTCTCTGAACTCCTCTCCATCATGTCCGCCCTATTCATCTCTGGTTTCACTTTCTACTTCCCCGCCATGATGTGGTTCATGCTCATCAAGAAGGGTAAATGGAACGCCAAGGAGAACTTGTTCTTGAGTATTGTCAACGGCATTGTTTTCATCATCGGAATGGTTGTTTTGGTCGCAGGTACTTACTCTGCTGTTGCTGGTGTTATGATGAACTACAAGAAGGGTACTGTTCGTGGTCCATTTACTTGTGCGCCGTTAGCTTAGTTTGGGTTTGGGTTACGGGTCTTGATCTTGGGTGTATGTATTATTAGCGGGGTTCCAAATTCGGGGTTTAAAATGGGCTTTTAGAAATGGTGTTTTGTAAGATTTTTATGCGGGGCAAGGGTAGACAAAATTGGAGTAATAGGAAATGAATCAACAGCTTCATAATTTCATCAAAGCAATTCCTGGTGACACATGATATGCATCAATTGAAAAGCACAGAGTATAGGACATTTCCCCGCAATACGGGGTACCATCGGTACTAGACCTCCTTGCATGCCAAAACGCCGGCCGAGTTGTCAGTCATCATTTCGTGCTGTAATGACTCCATACCAAGGAGTTCACCAGCAAGGAAATCTCGTAAGGACGTTGACAATGCCAGCTAACTACTTCGTACCTCTCGTGTTCTTTCCTGGCACGAACCACACCACTACCCCACAATACCAAGTGCTTCATAGGTGGCCAGGGAAGCTACCCCAGAAAAGAAATGTCATAATCGATATGCCTGGAATGAGCCACAGTACTGTACTAGCGCAAGGTATAATATATAATGGTACAGTACCGGTATGTACGAAGAACACATGATCACCCCAGACCCGACTTCTGGGGCAACCGAGACTCTTCCGCTCTCGTTGCGTAATGCCAATACCTACTTCGTACTTCGTACTTCGTACTGTACATTCCAAGGTTGGTGCCTATGTCCCCATACCTAGGTGCAGGTGATGATGCTTTCTCGAGGTAGGCACGTGATGCACCCCGTCTGTGGGTTGATGATGATGTTAGTATGAAACTTTTTTCTTTTTTTGTGTTTGATGAGTTAAGGTGGTGGGGTTGGGGAGGGGAGCGAATGTAAAGTTTGAGGGAAAGTGGGGTGGGGTGGTGTGGTGTATGATGTTGAGTGGTGAGCTTTTCTTTGACCATGTCTAGTTATTGGCGTATTCTGAGGATGAAGATTGAGGAGGATGCTCGAGGGTACTGGTAGTCAGATTGTGATTCCTGCCTAGGTTTTGTGGTTTGGGGGATTTGTGGTTCCTTTCGTTAGCGTCGCTGTTGTTGGAACCACTCCAACTGATATATCTTGTTAATGAGGGGAGGGACTTGGTGGAACGGAATTTTATGTTTGGCAAGGCGATGTGCATTTTGATTTCAGTGGTTTGGGTTAGCGTTCAAGGTTTTGAGGTGGGTAGAGATAAAGTATAGTGCCAATCGCATGCGATTTCATTTTTCTTTGGTGGTGGGTTGGGTTCATTTCATGTGTTAATTCTGCACAAAAAATTGAGGTTTAGAGCACGCTCAAATTCACGGTGAATATGCAGGAGGACTACAAGGGAGGATCAGACTGGCATGTGCTTTCATTTCTGTTACGTACATCGTAAAGTTTGGGGGAGGGGTGAGTTTGCAGGCAAATCCACAGTTGACCCCATGGGGTAAACCTCCAAGAACCACTTTTCATACTTCTTTACCTGACGAGTTGAAAGGGGGGTGGTCGTGGCCCTGATGTCTTGCATCAGGGGCGCATCTTGGTTCTGCTGTCGGATTAATTTGTCATTGGTCGCTAACCGATTGGATGTAATTCCTTCAAGTTGTTGTGCATGTCAGGGGTGGAGTTGTCGTCCCACCTTTACGTAAGTTCGTGATTGGACGCTAACCGATTGGCCAGCAGATTTCCCAACGTCAAGTGACCAAAACAAAAAATCAATTCAAACCTGCGTTCAGAGACATCAGAGGGCAAGCCATTCCCGCAGCTGTGTGATTGGACGCTAACCGATTGGGTGCACCGCACCCCAACGTCGAGTGACCAAACAACAACCCCCACCCTCCCCAACTTTGTGCATTAGGGGTTCGGTTATTCCACCGTTGTTTCATTGGCTCTGCAACCGAACGCGCTAACATTCTCTCAACGTCAACCCTTGGAAATGCGTGCCTTCCAACTTGTCTCTGTGATATCTTGCACCCTGCACAAACCAAGTTTCTGCTTTCTTCTTTCCTTATAATGTATGCGAATACTTATGTTCGACGTTTCGAGTTTCTGCGGGGGTTTCGCGGGGTTGTAGGATTCGAAGGAGGCTTCGGTCGCATGCTTGGAACGCTCGCTGGTCTCGCATCTGCGAGTTTCGAGAATGAATTGGGGGTCTTGACATGGTCGTCGTGCTCGCATTGTAACTCATTGTTTCCAATATTGAGGTTCTATTGTCCATGAGCGGCTTGCTATTGTCATCGTGTACCAGCCAATGTATATGTTCGCTCGGTAGTCAGTCTTGGGTTGCAGATGCGATGCGGTTGAAAGGGTTAGGAAGGACGGTCGTCAGCGGCGACGATAGCGAAGGAAAAAGTGCTCTCGTAGGGTTTCTAGTGGCCGTCTTGTTAGATGACTGATTTGTATGGGTATCCATCGTGGCCATCAACGGCTGCTGCTGTAGGCTAGGACTTGGTAGCTGATTGACAGACCTTCATACTGGTTCCATCCTTGTGACCCTAGATTTGATTCGCACACTGCGCTCACGATTTATGTGGTCGAGGGTGGCCACCGAAAGTCAGCTAGCTTGGATGGTATGTTCGCACGTAGGATTGGACTCGTCTCTGCTGGATTGCCAGGTGTCCAGTGGGAGGTTTCTTCTATTCTGGAAGACCATCTAGCATTCTCAGTGTTAGTTTTAGTTCATTTAAAATGTTGGGGGATGTTCGTACTGGTTGAGCTTATGTACTGAGCGCTTGACCTCCCACTTGCTTGATTTCTTGTGCTGTTCGTCCTGCGACTGCTTATTCGAACTCTTCGCCTCGCATACCATTCTCTTCTGGTTTTGCCCAGTTGGCTAGATGGTGTGTTCCGGATTCCTGACCAGTTATTTGAGATAATCCCGCGGAGATTTTCGATTTGTCTCGGTCGCTTCTTCGGGGATTTTGTCCTGGCTTGTGGTCAAGTTTGAGCAAGACAACACAATCATTCTGCAAATGAGATCCGATCCAGAAGGACATTCTTCCGCTTTTGGCGGTGATGGCAGATTCTCGTAGGGAGTATCTCCGTTGAAGGATGCTTGCGTTCTCCTGTTCCAATTAGCCTTATCCAGGAAGCTCATTAGACAATTGTCCTATGACATTCACGTACCGAGGGCTTGAAAACGAATGTTCCTATGGGCTGACTGCCATTCCCATCCCAACTCTCAATGTGGTTCTGCAAGTCCGTTATGTAGCCAACCCTCTAGCCTCGAGTCTTCCAAACCTTGTCAAAAGGCTCTGATTTAACCATGCCACCACGTATTGATTGCCCACCAGTTCGTTTGAGGCTTTCACGGCTTCCGCTGAGGTCTTCTGTAGCTTTCTTGTCGAAGGGCCAGTGGTCGTTGGGTTCTAGGAACAAGAACTGGAGACCACCAATGCCAGCTTGTAAGCGACTGCAAGTCCTCACGCAGAATTTCTACCCAGAATGCTCTAGCTATCGCACGCGTGCCTTTGTAGTCTCACTAGCTGTCGCTTGCCTTGGAGAGCGGTGCTCCGGTGGTAGATCCTGTCATTACAGAGGAGTTTTTGTGTAGCATGTGGGAACTTTGGTTGAGAAGGTTGTCTTTGTTTTCGAAGGTCGTCTTCTGGTATTTGGGGAGGGATAGTTCGGTTATATCCTTCTGGACACGGAGATGAGTCGCGGTTACCTTCCTGTGTCGAATACCAGGAGCAGCGTCAGCGTTCGCAGAAGCTTGTGGCTTTGGCTTCATGCCCCATATCGATTTCATGTTTTTGAGGGTCTGGTTGGTGGAGCACAGCATTCAGATATGAGATCAAGGCAAGGTGGCAGCAAGCAAGCACAAGGACGAATCTGCCAATCTCGTCGGACACATATAATCTTGGTCTTTCCACAGCAACTATCTTCCATCCTCTGCCTTATTCCACTGGAGGTTTCGTTCCCAAGGGTGCTATCTTTAAGCACCTTGTGTGCCGGGATTATGGAAACGGATCGGTCAACAGAAGCAAGTGCGCCGTCGTTTGGCGAGATTGATGAAACGGACAAGGCCATTGCATGAGTTTCTTCGTCTCGATGATTGATACTGCGGAAGTTGGTTTGAGACTGTTGGTGAACGGTCATTAGTAGAGATCCCACCAGTCTAGTCTCGCTATGTTCTGATGATCTGATCTGCCAACTGTGGAGGCCTCGCCTATCTTGATCGCTAAGGGGGCTTGAAATAACTTACAGGGCGTCCATGAGGTTATTGCCATCATACTAAGACGTGAGATTCCTTCAAAGCCCACATAGATCTTCTGGTAGATGATCACCAGAGCCCGGAGGATGGTTGCCATGAGCGGGCCGTCGATTCAGCCACCTCAATTCTCGTTGGGCGGTAAGCGAGAAAATCGGCGTTGCTCTGCACACAACGCACTTGCTCACTGGGCTCACATACTAGGGTCAGGTGCTCTGGAGGGTATCAATTAGCGTAGCCCTAGCCCTAAGCCTTCGTTTGCGAGCGCACTTTGACATTTATTCACATCATCACTGCATTTTTTGAGGTCTAAATCATGAATTGCCGGTGGGAATGCTCATTTCGTTCATATATCTGCCACTCAAAATTGTAGAACAGCCTTTACAAAACATCAAACGCGGCTACTCAGGACACCAAAACTGCGGTCACACCAGACTGGTTACCAGCTGGGCGCCGGCCCTCGTCCTCGTCCTCGGAGGGATCCTCGAGGTGATGGTCAGCATCATCATCACCCTCGTCCTCCATCTCATCATCCTCATCCTCGTCCTCATCCTCGTCCTCGTCAACCTCCTTTGCCTTCTCGGCAGCCTCCGCAAAAGCCTTTGCCTTCCCCTTGAGGGGGTAGGGGGCGCTTGAAGCAATGTAATTAGCATTTGAAATTGAAGGCAAGACATAAAAGATACTTACTACTTCTCGGTTGCCTCCTTCTTTACGAGAACCTCGAGGGCTTTGAGGTTCTCGGCCGACCAATTTCCGAGTAACTTCTGGTTGTGGGCAAAGAACTTCTTCTTGGCGCGATACCGAAAGGCATCACGGTTGTCGGAGCGGGGATTGCGAGTGGCTTGGCGGCTGTGATGGTTAGATAATTCAAGAAATGAAGGGGTGCATTACTTACTGCGCATTCTTCTCCTTCTTCTTCTCAGTAGCGGCGGCGGCAGCAGCAGCGGCGGACGCAGCAGACGAAGCACCAGCACCCTTGCCCTTTCGGGACTTCTTGTTGTTTTGGCTGGGAGCCATTGTTATTTTTGACTGTATCATGAGTTACTGTAAGCTCCAAGCATCAATAAATGAATTGATACATACCGATCTCTGTTTTGGTGGAGTTGGGAGGCGGCGCGCGCGAAAAAACAGGTCGTGGTAGGGTGTGGTGGTGGTGCTGAAGAAGAAAGGAAAGAAAGCGAGAAAAGAATGAGGAGAAGGGGTATTTATACTACGCTGTTGCCGTGGCCGACGTCGGAACTTGACAGTCCGTTGTCAGGAATAACATTTTACCGAAGCGAGCAGATGAGAGTCTAGGGACTGCTCATGATCAGTTCTGATTGTTTTGATTATCTGGATAGATTCGAACAATAGAATCAACACTGATGCTACGTAATGTACTATGAGATATATGGTTTATGCTTCATTTGATAGCGCCAAGTGACTTCAAGAATACAATTCAAGTTTTCTGAAAAGCTAGAACAATTGAATCACTGTGATAGACTGACGCGAGATGGCGTAACAAGAGGATGTTTGATTAATGTACTGTTGTAGCTTCATGTGAACAATGAAACTTAATTCTTCCCCACAGATAATTTACTATTTTTCTAAATACTCTTTTGAGCTAAAGGTAATAGAATGACTACTATATTCTAGTATACATATATAAACAATAGACTTGATTATTTTTAGTATATAATAGAGTGTTTTACCTGTTGTCTTCTTACGCGATTAGTAATAAAAGGAATACTGTATTCCTGTAATTATATATAAACACTATGTAATATATAATATAATCATTTGTTAATTATCCTCTTACGCGAGAGGTACGAGAAATAACGTAAGATTACTAGAAGTCTTTATATCTACTAGACTTAGTTATTCTTAGTATATAATAAAATATACTATATTACTTTCATAAATAAATAGTAATAGAAATAGAATAGTTTTCTCGAAAGTTGTGACGGTTCTGACCATCACGCGCCACTTGTATCACGTGGCGCCGCTTAGCGACCCACACCATGTATGTAGACTCGAGCTCCCTCGAGCTCTCCTCTTCTCTTCAGCTTAGAATCTTCGAATAAGACAGTTCTACGATTCTATAACCTACATTTTGGACGCCCACGGGCAACATATCGTACGTGTCGTTACAAAAGTATATATAAATACTGAAGTTAATTCTTCTTAGCTTCTTATAAGTTATAGCTTAACTTTTTACGAGAGTAATAAAAGATAGAACGCTATATTCTTAATATATTCTTAAAATAATAAAGTTAGTTCTTTCTATCTTATAGTTTAAGGGTTTTTATAAAGCTTTTTTACGTAGGTAATGTGACGGAGCTGGATTTCATTTGACAGGATTTCATTCGCTTGGCCAAGCACGTGACGAGACTTGGTATTGGAACAACTTAAATAACTTCGCTCCTTTCAGATTCTCTTCTCTCTTTAGTTTGATTTCTTCGTACCTACGGTCTTAGTTCTAGCAATTGATTCAAAAGCTGTATACACTTTATCCTTTGTTGGCATCCGTGACAGGTAATAAAAAAAATCCTATTATATCTCTAGTATTTTATATTAAGAGTAGACTTTATTATTCTTAACTTCTAATATAGTACTATATATATAAGCTTTTTACGCGAGTAGTAAAAGAAAGAACGTTATATTCTAGATATCTCCTTTTAATAATAAATTTAGTTCTTTCTGTGACGACACGTACGCAAGGCCCACGGTGTAGGTTGTGGAATCGTAGAACTGTCAATTAAACAAAGATTCTAAGCTGAGGAGAAGAGGAGAGCTCGAGAGAGCTTCGATCTAAATACTTGGTGTGGGTCGCTAAGCGAGACCACGTGATCCGAATGGTGGTGACGGTTAGAACCGTCACATTAGCTAGCTTCCTACCTTATACTTATCCTATTCCACACCGTGTCCTATTCGTCTTCTATAAGGTCTAAGGGATAGGTCTAAAATATAGTAGAAATAAGGTCTTAGTATTACTCTAGAAGTAACCTAAAACTCGCCTATACCCCTATTAAAAGTTCGGTACCTATTAGTATACTAAATGGTTAGTATTTCTCGGGAATTTAGCGTTATTACTTAGATATCTTACTTAATTCTACCTTCGAATCCGTTAAATCTATTAAATTATCTACTATTATATCTATTACCCTTTTAATATACCTAGCCCTAATAATAGAACCTTCTTTAGTAGAAGTGGGCTCCTTTTAGATCCGTTAATTAAAGTCTCCGTTAACTTAACGCCTAGTGTCACGAATCACGTGTTAGCATGTGACGAGTGAAGACCAGGCGGCGTCCTGACAGGTTAAGCACTATCATGCTCTTATAGCGAATAGGGATCGGCTAGACTAGCTAAGCGATCCAAGGATTTCATTATAGTCACGTGACGGATCTTTGGATCTGGATGGATCTTGGGGATCCTAGGATCCAACCAGATCCATGAGCAAGAAGGTTCTATATAACACTGGCATGTCTGCCATTAGATAGGAGCTTCGTGCTCAACTTAGTTATCAA